GCCACGTATAAATCTTGAATTCATTAGAACCATTCTCGAGAGTCATCCACTCTACTCAAATCTCAATAGCACCGCCCAAATGGACCGGACGACCTGTGCCCCATTAGTACAACAACACCCAAGGAAGTAATCCATTCTTCTAAGCAGCCGAGCGATTTCTTACTCCATGAATGCTACATCCTTTACAAATAACAACTAAATCATCCAATGTTTCTCATATACCCGTAAAGAATAACACCACCCTTATCCAAAATTTCCTTTACTCGAGCCATCCTCGATCTCAACCTCTGTAAGCCATAACTGATTTCACCAGTATACCTCAAACTGAAACCAATACAATACATAACCGTGCAATCAACTTATCAATAGCAGCCTCCCCCACTTGGCTCAAAGCAACAGATCAAAAAACACAATAACTCACAATGCCCATACTCTATTACTGCCATAATACCATAGTGAGATTCAACTAAATCCCTCATAAACTCATGCAACACAGACCATCTAATATCTCAAATCATCTGCAAATCTCACATTCACCCTTGTAATAGTCAAGCCAATTCTCATAAGTGATCCAAACTCAAATTACAACACATATAATTCATTGGTAAAAGAGAACTTGCTACAAAACAACATAGGGATCACACAAACCTCAGGACACCCCGCAGGAGATAATCCAACTGCTTTGCCTCAAACTAACATCTCTTTATACCCATCCACAGTCATAAACATTACGCAATCCCTTAATCTTCCTGAGTCTGAACTCATATCACGACATGAAATCTACTTCACTCCTCAACTAAACAACATGAAAAGATCCTTCAACACACCCATAACTCGGGGCTATACATCAAATCAAGATGGAAATCAAGCACCAAATAGTTCCTTCTACACCTCAAGCAATCCTTCTCGTCACATTCAAATCATATGAACACATCTCGCAGTGACATCATACTCATCACGTATCCATCCAGCCATAAATTCCACTAATAGGGATACTACCAGACATATAAGTCCAAAAGCACATGCTCACACAATCAACACCTCAGTGCTCAAGCCACAGTCAAAATCTAGCCTCAAGTCCTCCAGACTAGCCCATCTTCAGCATACCGAAATAACATCTCGCACCTCATCCATGAGATCACAACCCATCGATGCACAGCTGATACCGAGCGCTCATGTGCGCATACGGATGCGTGGAAAGAATCCTAGGAGTTACACTTCAAGCTGAATCAATGACGCACAATAAGGAAAGAAAGATGGGAAGTATATCCTAAATGCCCTGTAGCCTATCGAAGATAGGTATGGACGTCATCATACCGATCCGCAAGACTCTACTAGACACTTGCTCATGACTTGTAGAACCTATGAACCTAGAGCTCTGATACCAATCTGTCACAACCAAAAACCCGCTAGCCGTGATGGAACCTAACCCAACCGTCTAGGTAAGCAACCTATACTATCCGATTCCAACAATATTCAATAAGGCAATTTATCAAAAGAAATTATATGAATCTTATACATTTCCCCAAGGACTGGTACTACAAATCATGAGCTCCTAAGAATAGAGTTTACAAAGCTGATATGAAGTAAATATCATCTGTTTGAAAGATACATAAACAGAGTTTTAATATTTCTAAGGCTACCATGAATAAGAGGCAGCTACAACAGGGACGTAGGTATATCTTCTAATACAGCTCCCATCGAATACAGCAACATCGGTATCTGAATTCTGCACGAAATGTGCAGGAAGTGTAGTATGAGTACAATCGACCCCATCTACTCAAAAAGTAACAAACCTAAACTTAGGTTGAAAGCAGTGACGAGCTGGAGCATAGGTCGGGTCCAACACCAATAACCAACAACAGTTCATAACAACGTAGAGCATATAAATGAGGAAGTAACAGAGATAAAATATTCAGCTTTTCACAGTTTTCCGAAAATAGTTCCGCTTCAAGAATATCAGTGAAACTCAAATCCTTTACCGAAATAGTCGTAAATATATAAGATAATTTGAAAATTGTAATTTTTCTAAACATCCTTTTCACAATAAATAAGATGTTTCATTTTCTTTCAAGATAAAAGTATGAAATACCTCTCTATGCCACATTTAAATGAGTGTAAAAAGTCATGAATGACGTGATACCGTACAACATGAGGAAAAAATGCATCTCTATGCCTGTATGTCATGTGTGCATGCCAATGCCATGTATCTCAAAGATGAATCATGTACCCACACTCTCAGAGTACTCAATCTCATTGTCTCACACTTTCCACTCATCATGCTCAACCACTCGGTACTGTATATGGCCCATTTGGCCCAGGGAAGATCCATCCCGAAATATATACATCACTGACCATCAGTCACTCAGTATCCAGGAAAGCGAATCAGGCCCCATGGAGAAGATCCATCTCCAGGTATATAAATACTTCGGACAAGATCCATGTCCAGGGAAGATCCAGCCCTCAATATAATCAACCACGCTCACTGGGGGTGTGCAGACTCCGGAGGGACTCCTTCAGCCCAAATGCTACAATCTGCACGGACAACTCACGTGCTACACGGACAACTCACGCGCTATAGTATTAATATTAGAATAACCACTGCGGCGTGCAGCCCGATCCCATAACTATCGCTCAAAATCAGGCTCTCAAATTCACTCAGTCATCAATCTCTCCAGTCTCACCCACGGGCTCACAATGTCATGAAAACTGACCCGCAACAATGATATGATGTATCAATAAGTAACAATTGAGACTGAGATATGATATGAATGCATGAATGTGACTGAGTACGAAATATCAATAAAATCAGTGAGATGACAGCGATCATCAACCTCTATGGGTCCTAACAATATCATCATAAAGCCTAAACATGATATCTAGCATGATTGACAGCTCAGTTACTTTATCACATGGTGAAAACACAGATCAACAAAGGGGCTACTAAACAGTGCCCTGGAAACAACAGAGTCACAACTCACAGGGTGCACGCCCACACGCCCGTCACCTAGCATGTGCGTCACCTCAACACCAATCACATAACACATAATTCGGGGTTTCATACCCTCAGCACTAAGTTTAGAAGAGTTACTTATCTTAAACATGTTGATTCCAACACCGAGCAAGCCAAGCGATGCTTAGAGAATGCCATCACGCGCTTCGCGACCTCCGAATGGCTCAAAACTAGCCAAAAGCAACTCAAATACATCAGATAACACCCAAGGAATCAATTTCAAATGATAAAGATCGAATTCTACATCAAATCCTAAATCCTACCAAAACTCACACCCGGGCCCACGCCTCAAAACTCGACAAAACTCACAAAATCCGACAACCCATTCAATTACGAGTCCAACCATACTAGTTTCACTCAATTCCGACTCCAAATCGTTGATCAAAACTCAAAAATTCATATTATGAAACTTTAGGCCAAAACCCCCAATTTCCTCTTTAAATTCGTCAACCAATTGCAAAAAATGAAGATAGATTCATGAAATATAATCAAAACTGAGTGGAGAACACTTACCCCAATCCTTATGATGAAAATTGCTCCAAAAATTGCCTCAATCCAAATCTGACATCTCATAATATGAAGAAATAACCAAAACCTCAATTTTATAGCTTATTCCCAGAAATTCCGCTTCTGCGGACACTTAACCGCATCTGCAGTGTCGCTTTTGCGCAAAAATCACTGCATCTGCGGAAAACCACTTAAATCCCCATCTCCGCACCTGCGCTCCCTATCCGCTTCTGCGACCGCGCAGGTGCGGAAAAGACCTCGCACCTGCGGCCACTGCCAGACCTCCTCTCTTCCGCTTCTTTGGGCAACTACCCGCTTCTGCGGGCTCGCAGATGCGGACGACCAGTCGCACCCGTCGTCTTCCCCAATCCAACACACTTCCGTACCTGCGTCCATCCCACCGCACCTGCAGCGTCGCACCTGCGGCAATACCCTCGCAGGTGCGATTACACCAGCAACAGGCCAACTTCAGCAATTCTCCAAACGTCAAACTTGATCCGTTAGCCACCCGAAACACACCCGAGGCCCCCGGGACCTCAACCAAACATGCCAACAAGTCTAAAAACACAACACGGACCTCAAAACACGCATAACAACTTCGAAACGATGAATCACACCTCAATTCGAAATCAATGAACTTTGAAACTTTAAATTTCCACAACCGATGCCGAAACCTATCAAATCACGTCCGATTGACCTCAAATTTTGCACACCAGTCACATTTGACATTACGGACCTGCTCCAACTTCTGGAACCGGAATCCGACCCCGATATCAAAAAGTCCACCCCTGATCAAACTTTCCTAAATTCCATCTTTTGCCATTTCAAGCCAAATTTCACTACGGACCTCCAAATCACAATTCAGACACGCTCCTAAGTCTAAATCACCCAACGGAGCTCAAGGAGCCATCAGAAATCCAATCCGAGATCAAATTCTAAAAAGTCAAACTTGGTCAAACCTTTCAATTTTTAAAGCTTCTAGCTGAGAACCATTCTTCCAAATTAATTTCGAATAACTTGAAAACCAAAACCGATGGTTCACATAAGTCATAATACATCATACGGAGCTACTCATGTCCTCAAACAACCGAGTAAAGTGCAAATGCTCAAAGCGACAGGTCAGGTCATTACAATGTTCCACAATTGAGACCTTTCTTCTTTGGCTTCTTTGCACTTCTAGACTCCTTAATGATTTGTGCATCAACAACCTTTCTTTTACTCCTTGTAAGAGGAGTTCTGGCAGGAGGAGCCACTCCTTTCCTAGTTGAGACTGCTGACTTTGTAGCTTTCCTAGCGGTCTTCCTTAGTTTCTTCCCTACCTCAGATAGTGGCACATCATCTTCATCACTGCTTACTTCTTCATCTCCAGTGAAAGGAGTTAATAAAGACCCAGGTTCTTGAGCCCTTATCTCTTCACCAGTTTCTTCTGAAGGGGCTATGACAGTGTTCCCAATGGTCATGGAACCTTCAGATTCCTCACTCACATTCCCATCTTCTTCATCACCCTCTTCATCACCTCCTTCACTCTCACGACCTTTTCTTGATCCTCACCCTCAGAGTCATCCTCTTTTTCACTATGATTTTCTTCTTCTACAGAATCATTAACCTATTCACCAGTCTTATCATCTGTATCACTCTCTTTTTCATCTCCAGATGCTCCCTCATTCTCACTCTTTTCTTCTTCATTGGCTATGTTTTGAGCATCATGCTCCTCACGATTGTTCACCGCTTCTTATTCTTTTTTACCCCCATCATCTTCCTCATCCTCAGTCTAACTAAAAGAAAGGCCATCAGAAGCCTCCTTTTGCACAGGTTCTTTATTTCCTTCCCCCTCAACCACAGGCTTCACAACAATAGTATCTACCTCCTTCCCAGATCACCTGCACCCTTTTCTATAGTGAATTCTCCACTTGTGGCTTCTCACTCATGGGTGGGAGAGTATCTAAGGGTGTAGCGTCTATAGATGACACCAAAACAGTTAATTTAGAAGGAGGATTTTGTACCTGATTAGTAGTGACTGGCACCGTTTTCCCCCGAACCACAGATTCCTTGGCTACAATGTTACCCTGCGTAACAGCATCAGGCACTTTCTTGATAGATTTTCTTGGAGTGGCCTTGACCTTTGTTGACTTAGAGGTATTTTCCGCAGTAAGCTCAGGTGCATGGGTGGTTGGTTTTAGAGGAGGGGATACAGTGGAGGTGGGGATGATAGGAATAGCAGGAACAGGGGATGATGATGTAGGTATAGTGGGGGATATCGAAGGAGAAGGAACATGTGGGAGTGTGGGTTCCGTTAATGGCTTGGCATTTTTCTTCGATTTAGGCTTCATGATTTTGGGTTTTGCTTCAGCCTTGGATGATGATTTGGCTTTATAGGGTGTTTTACTCACTTTATGCATGGTGATCAGATGAGAGACTCTAAGAAGAGAAAGGGAGAATTAGTTCTTGATACTTACTCTTGATTCTTGCTTAGGGTTTTAGAGAAACAGTGAGGTCTGAGAAGCTGATCATAAGAGCCTTTGAAATACGTTACTCTTGATTTGATTGGAGGAGAGAAGTGATCGAATTTGAGTTCTAACGGGACTCTTATAAATGTTACCTTGACTGTTAGGATTTTAGGAGTAATTGAACTCTAGTTGGACTAGGATTCCCCATTATTCTTTGACTAGAAGACGACTGGAAATGATGCCAACGGAATTAGAATTCTGAGTATAGCAATAATTTTAGGATATAAAGTCCTAGCGACTTAAGACAATATGGCACGTACCTGAGTCAATGAACCAACTCCTTAGCAACTCCTTATTTGTTTCTGCAATAAAGCTTCAGTACTTCATATTAGTATCATACAAAACAGTTATCAACCAGATTTTCCAAGCAAGTGTGTGAGCTTAATACAAGCACAAAGCTAAATCAAACACATTGTACTTAATTATCTACATCTAATTATGACTTTTCTAGCCAATCACTGGGATTCAACTTAGTTGGAAGAGTTGATTAGACCTAGTTCTAGTCTATTCCTTTCAAAGTTATCCCTAATCAGAGCTTTAGTAAAAATATCAGCAATTTGATCTTCAGTATCACAAAAGTTAATTGAGATATTCCCCTTTTTAACATTGTCTCTGAGAAAGTGATGTCTAATGTCAATGTGCTTGGTTCTCTTATGCTGACATGGATTTTTAGCAATGTTTATGGCACTGGTGTTATCATAGAAAATGGGAACACAACCAACAAATATACCATAGTCCCTTAGCTGTTGTCTTATCCATAGCAACTGAGCACAACATGATGCTGCTGCCACATATTCAACCTCAACTGTAGATAAGGCCACTGAGTTTTGCTTCTTGGTTCCCCCAAGACACCAGACAAGAACCTAGAATATCAGCTGTTCCTGAAATGCTTTTCCAGTCAACATGAAAACCTGCATAGTCAGCATCAACATAACCAACTAGATCAAAACTATATCCTCCAGCATACTATAGACATAGATCAGGGGTCCCCTTGAGATATCTTAGTATCCTTTTGACAACCTTCAGGTGAGATTCCTTGGGATTTGCTTGAAATCTTGCACATAATCCTACATTGAACACTATATCAGGCCTGCTTGCTATGAGGTACAACAGTGACCCAATCATTCTTCTATATAGTTTATGCTCCACACTTTTCCCTTCTTCATCAAGGTCCAGCTTTATTGCAGTTGCAATGGGTGTGTCAATGGACTTGGAGTCCATATTGAACTTCTTTAGTAGTTCTTTGATATATTTCTGCAGATCTATCATGGTTCAAGTAGGTGTTTGCTTGATTTGCAGCCCCAGAAAGAAATTCAATTCACTCATCATGCTCATTCAAACTTATTTCCCATCATCTCAGCAAATTCCTTGCACATTGCTTCATTGGTAGCCCCAAAGATAATGTCATCCACATACACTTGCACAATCAGAATATTCTTCCCTCAGCTCCTTAGAAGTAGAGTGTTGTCCACCTTTCCTCTTACAAAATTATTGGTTAAGAGGAATTTTGAGAAACTTTCATACCAAGCTCTTGGAGCATGTTTCAGTCCATAAAGAGCTTTATCCAATTTGAGCACATAGTCAGGAAATTCTTCACTTTCAAATCAAGGAGGTTGTTTGACAAACACTTCCTCCATCAGATAACCATTCAAAAAGGCACTCTTTACATCCATCTGATTTAAGGTTAACTTCATGTGGCCAGCGAAGACGATCATCATTCTTATAGCCTCCATTCTAGCTACAGGTGCAAACGTCTCATTATAGTCAATGCCATCCTCTTGATTGTATCTTTGAACCACCAGTCTTGCCTTGTTCCTTGTGATATTCCCTTGTTCATCTAACTTGTTTCTGAATACCCATCTGGGTACCTATGACAGTTTTGTTCTTGGATTTTTGTACTAGGTGCCAGACCTTGCTTCTCTCAAACTAATTTAGTTCCTCTTGCATGACTATGATCCAGTCTGGATCCTTTAGAGCTTTTTTGATGGTCTTAGGTTCAACCTATGAGAGGAATGCTGTGAGTGCATATAGATTTCTTAGAGAAGACCTGGTTTGCAACCCTGCATTTGGATCGGAGATGATATTTTTAAGAGGATGTGAACTTTGATGCTTTCATGGTCTGATCTATATACCAAGAGAAGATTCACCTGAGGAGTGACCCAAAGGAGGAGGTTCAGTGGGTGTGTCTTTATTAGTTTGGTTAGAAGTTAGCATAGTTCTTTCATCTTCTTGTTCCTCATGATCATTGTCAATTTCCTTGTGGTTTTCATATCCATCTTCATACTGAGGTTCAGATTCCTTTGTATCTCCATCACTAGTGAATCCTATGTGATAATCTTCATCCTGCAGACCTTTCTCAACCAGATTGTTAGATTGATTAAAAATAACATGAATATTTTCTTCCATACACATAGTTCTTTTATTAAAAACCTTATAGGCCTTACTGTGTGGAGAGTACCTCAAGAAAATTCCCTCATCACTTCTGTCGTCAAACCTACCTAGAGCTTCTTTCCCATTATTAGGCACAAAACATTTGCACCCAAAGGCTCTCATGTGAATGATGTTGGGTTTTCTTCCTCGACGTAATTCATAGGGAGTTTTCTCAAGAATGGGTTTGACCATGCATCTATTTAGCAGGTAGCAAGCAATGTTGATTGCCTCATCCCAAAATCTCTTAGGTAGTACACTAGCAATCAACATGGTCCTCCTCATGTCTTCTAAGGATCTATTCTATTCTTTTTACAACCCTATTTTGTTGTGGAGTTCTAGATGCAAAGAAATTATGGTCAATACCATGTGAGACACAGAACTCAAGGAATTATGAATTTTCAAATTCAGTTCCATGGTCAGTTATTATGCTTAATACATTACACCCTAGCTTTTGTTGATTCATTCTGACAAATACATAGAAAACATCAAAGGTTTCATCTTTGGATCCCAAAAACAAAGTTCGGGTATACCTGGAGAAGTCATCAACATTCACGAACACATACCTCTTACCTCCTCTACTCCTTATTCTCATTGGTCCACATAGGTCCACGTGAAGGAGTTCCAGAGGTTTAGAAGTACTTACAAACTTTTTAATTTAAAGGATGACCTTACATGTTCCCTCTAACACAGGCATCACACACCTTGTCATAGGTGAACTCAACTTTCGGTAGCCCAAAGACCAAGTCCTTTGCTGCCAACTTGTTGAGTTGAGAGAGACTGGCATGTCCCAGTCTTCTATGCCATAGCACTAGATCATTTTCCACTACACTCAAGCATGTGTGCTCACTCTGGGGAAGTGACACAATCGATATCATGTAGACATTGTTATGTCTCTTACCCTTTAACACAATTTCATCAGTATCAAGCTTAGTGACAATGCAAATTTTGGAATTGAATTTTACCTCATTTCCTTTGTCACACATTTGAGAGATACTAAGAAGATTCTGTTTAAGACCTATAGCATAATACACATCTTCTATAGCATGAGAGAGTGACTTAACAACCTTTCCAATACCTGTTATCTGGCCCTTTTTCCCATTTCCAAATGACACACTCCCTCCTTGGAAAGCTGTCAGTGAGAGGAAGTTTTTCTTTTCTCCAGTCATATGTCTTGAGCATCCACTGTTTAGATACCAGTCCTGATTGTTTCCTCTCACCTTAGCCTGCACCAAAATTTAAAAGTTAGTTTTGGAACCCAGACAAGCTTGGGTCCCTTTTTGTTGGAAAAGGATGAATCAGATCCTTTCTTGCCTAGAAGGAGAGAGGATTAGAAGCTATTTTCTTGTTAACCTTAATCCACTTAGTATGGACAGGAGAATTAACCTTAGGCTCCTCTTCCTTCTTCACATTTTTAGCAATACCAAAGGTGCTTCTAAACTGAGTATGAATTAAGGCAGGACAAGTGTCTCTAAAGTGTCCTATTCTTCCACAATGGTTGCACATGTTATTATCAGAAATTCCTACATACTTTGGGTCAAACTTAGTGACAAATTTTCTGTAGCCAATTCCAAATTTGTTAGAGCTATAGTGTTCATTTAGCCAGTTCACGACATCAGAAGATCTATGCCATTTGCTTAGTCTAGAAAGTTCATAATTAGCCTTTTCTAGGTTTTCCTGCTCGACTTTATTTTTACATTCAGCATCACAAAGATAATCTTTAGCAATTTTTAATTCCTTTTCAAACTTATCCTGCAGATCACTCATTTTTCCTTTGTCATGTATATCAGGAGACTTCTAATTCTTAGAAGTAAGCTCAAGAACCTGGTTCTTAAGGTCTTTGACCTGTTTCTCTAAACTAGCTTTCTCAGATTCAAGCTCTTTGATATTAGGTTTGTGTCACGCCCCAAAATCCGAGGAGCGCGACCGGCGCTCAACCGAGCAAGCCTGACTGAGCAAGCCTGTTAGGTTTCATCCTACCCAACCCAACTCGTGATTAAATAGGAGATGGACTCCATTAATCAGCTTTAGTAAGTATTTCATTAACAACTTCCATTTTATTTCCATTAGCAACTTAAATCACAATTATCAAAATATTACAAATTTTATAAATCTTTGCCAAACATCAATATTTTTACTTTAATTCCAATACCCGACACTACCCACAAACTGTCTATGGAGCCTCTAAACATAACTGAAGAGTAATGTAATATAGAAATGCCTGTAACAAGGCTCCGGCTATACCTCAAATACAAAGTACATGATAAACAAATGAAACAGGACCCCGAAACGAAGTGGGGCTCACCAAGTCAGCTGAAAGGATGATGCGACACTAGCTGCGACCAACACTGCCTGCTATATAAACACCTACATCCATTTAAAGACGTAGCGCCCCCGGCAAAAGGGACGTTAGTGCCATCGAATAGCACTAGTATGTATAACTAAACACCATCTAGTTAGAAAGA